TTCCAACGCTGCTGCACGGGGTACTATCACTATGACATCAATAACCCATCCTAAATCCAAGCTCACTCTCTAGCTGCACAAGTCCATTCACCCCTCGTGGGCATCAATTAAATGTGCGAGAACATCCTTCCAACTCAAAGTTATGTTGTATCCTTCTTCATTTCAAGCAGCTCCTTCTCGATATGTCAAATATCATGCCGCATAACAGCCCATACTTCAAATTAAATCCATAGACCCCAATCACCAATCATTAAAATCCCCAAGTCATTCCAAACTCTCCTTAAGGTGCATAGTCATCCTACCACAATACCTATATGCAACTCCGCCACTCTCCCACTTTGGCGGAACTCATCCCTTTAAACGTCTACTCGACCTTTGCTTCCTATACTTGGCCTTCTAAAAATTTTAGCCACGGCCTGACACTTCCTACCTATCTTTCCTCATCCTTTGCTGCTCTGTTGTTGCCTTAGATAAATTCTATCTTCGTAGCACTTGAACCCATAATCCCTACTAACTTTAAACCTTCCTGAAGATCACCTTTCTCGAGCCGTCAACATTAGAAACACCGATTCCATCCTGAACCACCGCACCCCGCGACCTCTGACCGTTGCTTCTTCAATACTGACCCGCAATATCTTGCTCGAAAGGAGAATTGTAGAAGATCATAACACTAGCGAACTCAGTACATTCAATAAGGACAACAACACCTCATCATAGAAGAATACTCCACCATGCTTGCAAATACCAAGTCACGTTACCCCATCAACCCAAACCTAAACATTCTCCGCCCGATCGCCTTTCCCCTGCCGGGAATAAACTACCGAATCTCTAGATCATGCACTGAGTAAACCTCCTTTCAAGTCATTCACTCCCCCGACACGTAGGCAAATGTCCTACTATCATATCAATACTGCGGAACAATCATTCATAAGCATCATGGAAACTTATGCCTAGCCTCAGAGCTCTTAGAAGTACCGCTACTGAGCTGAAACAATAGAATATCCTTCCACAAGGTGATGATAATAGCTCAAACAACCCCGCAGGGAGAAATACCCCGCACCACATTCGTTGTACCACTAAAATCCTTAAATTCTCGATTTATAATCAGCGGTTCGCGTCGCGTAAGCTTGAGTAGGAAGTAAACGAGGGCATAAGCCTCAAGGAATCAAATCGCACGATGAGGCATCAAGAAGGGAAGTACTCCTAACAGCCCTGTAGCCTCCCGAAGATAAGTACAGACGTCTCCGCACCGATCCGCGAGACTCTACTAGACTTGATCATGACTCGTGAGACCTACGGGAACCTAGTGCTCTAATACCATGTTGTCATGACCCAAAATCCACTAAGGGTTGTGATGGCACCGGACACCGCTGTCAGGAAAGCCAACCAAAAATACTTAATTAAATTCAAATTTTAATACTTGTCGAAATCATTTTTCCTTATACATTTAAGTAGTAAATATAAAATTTACAAAGATAACCATGGATTCTTTAACAAACTTAATATTGAATAATCCAAAAATTATCCCAGAACCCGGTGTCACAAGTGCATGAGCTATTTCTAGGAAACAACACAATACAACAACCGTCCGGAATACAATGGACAGAAAGTAAATACAATACGCTGAAAGAGACTCTGCCGGTTGCAGATCGTCTCGAGAAGTGCAGCTCACTTAAGTCTCCGTATCAACCATGCAGCTACACCCACTAGGCCAATAGAAATGCAGGTGCACGTGCAACAAAAATACACAGCAAGTGTAGCATGAGTACGAAAACAACGTGTACTCGGCAAGTATCCCGTCTAATCTCGAAGAAGTAGAGACGAGAGGTCGACTTCGACACTTGCTAATGGTCCAATAATAATATAGTAAAATGTGAGGAAATCATGGATTTATATAGCAGTTATAACTCAAAAAGCCATAAAATAGGTAAACACCTTTTCAAATAATAAAGGATTTCCAAGATTTACTTTCCATTATCTTTATCAATCTATATCGGGCCATGAAAGGCAATATCAACATTGAAAAGCTCTCAGGCAAGCAATATAAGCATGCGCATATCATGCCTAGGACGTACGGCCCGCTCCAACAATATTTAAATTGTGCACTGCCGAGGGTCAAACGGCACGAACCATAGATCCATCTATTACCCCGCTCGCGAACTATCCTGCGACATGGTCAACATAAAATAAACAAACACCCTGCTCGCGAACTATACATGCGACGTAGGTACACATAGAACCACATATTCAAACAGTTAATCAAAACTTCATTAGGGAACGAGTATCCAAGAAAAATCCAAATCCTTTTTTATTTAACGATTTAAGAAAAATGAATTTTAATCCTTTTAGAAATTGATTTACCACTTCGATAGAATTCAAACCATCAATAGGATCACAAATATTTCCAAGTACAGCATGCTTTGGGTCCTAGACTACCCGGACAATAGCATAATAGTAGCTACGCACGGAGTCTCGTCACCTCGTGCGTACGTAGCCCCCACAAAAAGGAGCACATAACAAAATATTTCACCTATGGGGACAATTCCCTCATACAAGGTTAGAAAGGAGACTCATCTCGCTCTGAAGATCCATAACCGGCATTCCACGCTCTTCCAAAGATTCCAATCGATGCACAAAGCTCCAACGCTAGCCAATAATAATACCAATCCATTCATATATATCCAATTACTCCTAATGCTCCAATTCATAGCAATTCCTAACCCGATCGAAAAGTGGACAAAATTGCCTTCAGGCCCACGTGCACGGATTCCTAAAGTTTTTGAAGATAAAGTTTAACCATTCACGAACTCAAATATATGATTTTCTCTTAATTCTATACCCAAAATCGTTTAAATTCCAAGAATATAAATTCTAGGTCTTTCTACCAAAACCCCAAATTTCTACCAATTTACATGTTAAAATCCATACATAAACGATGTATTTAACTCAAGATGATTATCTAAAAAATTTCAAGTAGTTTATTATTGTAGTTATTGTTAAATAAAAAGAAAAAAAAGGATCACTAGTAGGTTATTAGTTGATTTGTAGTTGTGGATAAGCTTTAATATGTATGGGTCAAAGTGAACTCAAATTTAGCCAGGCCCATTATGAGGTTAAGCATGCTAGCAGGGTAATTTGTCTTTACTAATAAGGTAGCTTAATGCCCAAAATAATAGAATTGGCCCAGCAGCCCCAGTAACAAAGAAAGTGGCGCAACGCCATTTAAAATCCAACAAACAAAGCTGGTCCAAGTTTCTAATTACAAGATTTTCAAATAGATTTCAATACATCACATTTTCTTTTAATAATTATGTAACATAATTACCTATGTAATTTATTCACCTTAATAATTAATTTATACGCTAGGCAATTAGTAGGCGCGCTTTAACTCACGGAATCGCTTGCATAGTGTGATGTTTGATATTCAATAAATTAATTCAATAATCTCATACCATACCCATTAAATTTAGTTAATTTTTAACTTAGTTAATCCTTTGCCGAAATCGCAGATTCGCTTGCGTAGCGGATACAACAACAACAACAGCATACCCAGTATAATCCCACGGGTGGGGTTTGGGAAAGGGATTAATTATGTAGGCCTTACCCCTACCTGGAGAGGTATAGAGGCTGTTTCCGAATGACCCTCGGCTCAAGAAAAGGTGGAATGGAAGAATAGGGGAGAAGAAGGGGAGGAAAGAGGAGGGGGAGAAAGGCGATAAGCAATGAGGAGAAAAAACTAGCATCAAATAGTAGCCATCAGGAAGCAACAATATCCAGCAAAAGGGGGGAAAAGTAACATCAAACAGTAACAATCAGGGAGCAACAATCCCAATAGCAATTTACAAAAACAAAGGACGTCGTTGCGAAGAACCAGATACAATAACCAACTACAAAGAAGTAACTTTCAACCCACAACAAGAATATTACTAGTACTACTATTGAAACTATGGAAAACTCACAACTACCTGTCAACCCACCACCTTAATCCTCGACCTCCACACCTTTCTATCGCTAGTCATGTCCTCGATTAGGTGAAGCACCGACAAGTCCTGCCTAATCAACTCTCCCCAATACTTCTTAGCCTACCCGTGCCCTTCTTCAAGCACACCATGGTCAACCTCTCACACTTCCAGACTGGGGCATCTATATCTCTCCTCTTCACATGTCCAAACCATCGCAGCCTCAATTCCCGTAACTTGGCTTCCACATATACCACTCCCACCTTGTCCCTAATAACTTCATTCCTGATCTTGTCTTTCCTAGTATGACCACACATCCATCTCAACATTCTCATTTCTGTTACGCTCATCTTTTAGACATGGGACTTCTTGAAAGGACAAGAATCAGCTCCATACAACATAGCTGGTCCAACCACCACCCTGCAGAATTTTCCCTTAAGTCTTGGCGGTACATTCTTATCACATAAAATCCTTAAAGCTAGCCTACATCTCATCCAACTTGCTCCAATACGGTGAGTAACATCCTCGTCAATTTCCCTATTGCCTTGGATTATAGACCCAAGATACTTGAAGCTATCTCTTGTGGGAATGACTTGAGTATCAATCTTTACTTCTACTTCTTCTTCATGCCTCTCCTCACTGAACTTGCACTCCAAGTATTTAGTTTTCGACCTACTTAACTTGAAACCTTTTGATTCTAGCATCTGTCTCCAAACTTCCAACCTAGTGTTAATACTCCCTCGCGTCTCGTCAATCAATACTATGTCGTCAAAAAATAGCATGAACCATGGCACCCTCCCTTGTATGTGACGAGTCAGGACGTCCAACACTAGGGAAAACAAAAATGAGCTAAGGGTTGATCCCTGATGTAACCCCATCTCCACTGGGGAATATTCTGAGTCTCCTCCCGCAGTCCTCACCCGAGTCTTCGCGCCTTCGTACATGTCCTTAATCGCCCTAATGTACGCTATAGGGACTCCGCTAACCCCTAAACACCTCTATAGCACCTCCCTCGGGACTTTGTCAAAAGCCTTCTCAAGGTCAATGAACGCCATGTGCAAGTCCTTTTTTCCTCTCCCTATACTGCTCCACCAATCCTCTCACAAGTTGAATGGCTTCTGTGGTTGACCGTCCTGGCATAAATCTGAGTTGGTTCTCAGATATAGATACACATGTTCTCACTCTCTTCTCCACCACCCTCTCCCAGACATTCATAGTGTGACTCAGTAGTTTGGTACCCCTATAGTTATTGCAGTTCTGGATATCCCCTTTGTTTTTGTACAACGAAATCATCAAACTCCACCTCCAGTCTTCGGTCATCTTCTTCATCTTGAAAATGATGTTAAACAAGTTAGTAAGCCACTCCAAGCCTACCCTACCCACTTCTTTCCAAAATTCCACCGAGATCTCGTCAGGCCTAGTTGCCTTACCCCTGCTCATCATCCGTATAGCCATATCAACCTCCTCCCACCTAATACGCCTGCCAAACCCAAAATCTCTCCGACTCTCTGAGTTCTCCAACTCACCCAGCACGATGTTCCTATCCCCGTCCTCATTCAAGAGTCTATGGAAGTACTCCTGTCATCTACGCCTGATACACGTCTCCTCCACCAATACCTTACCGTCTTCGTCTTTGATGCACCTCGCTCGATCCAGGACCCGAGCCTTTCTCTACCTAATTTTGGATAACTTGTATAGCTTCTTATCCCCTCCTTTGCCCCATATTCCTCATATAATATTTTAAAGGCTGAAGTCTTGGCCGCCATAACTGCGAGTTTCGCCTTTCTCAAAAGTGCTACAAATAATTGATTGTCATAATTTTGGATTCGCTTGCGAGGCACAATTATGATAAGTTAATTAAAATGTAATATTATCCAAATTATTTTATTTAATAATTCTAATAATCAAGAGATAAAAGCGGATAGGTAAAATATAAAGTAAAGTTTATCCAAAATTAATTTAAGCCAATTTTAGTCAATAAAAGCGATCGTGCTAGAACCACGAGACTTGGGGAATGCCTTACACCTTATCCCTGGTCAACAGAATTCCTTACTCGGACTTTGTTTTTGCATACCAATAATAATAGAGTCAAACATTCTTTTGACTAGGGATTCAAATAAAAGGTGAGTTGGAACACCCAAAAATCAATTCCAAGTGGCAACTCTGAACAATAAAATAATCCCTACTCAAGTTTGGAACTTTAATTGGAAAAACTCTTTAACACACAATCCATAACATAACACATATCTTTTGGGTCAGAAAAGGGGTGTGACGGCTCTAGTGACTCTACTAGGTCTATTCAAGAATTCGAGCTTGTACATTGACTTTATTTGGCTTTATTAATTTTTGTATATAACTGCGATCTATTTGGGCCTAATGTGCTACTTGCCTGCTCTTTACCGCTTTGATATTGTTGAATTGTATTATAAATTGTCTTCTTGCGCAACCCCTCTAAGTCTTCTGAATACAACCTCAGGAATCGCAAATACGCGCCCCATTCTTTTTTTAGATAAAGCCGGTGGGCCTAGGCTCCTAATGAAGGATTATTAGTCACCCATATTTAAGAACGGGGAGGGTCCGGTAGTTAAGCCGGATAAGTATTGCTCTCGGTACGCTACCCCTTCCCAATTCGAGTTGTCCGCTCCATTTATGGCCAGTCTAGACACACCTCATCCCCTAGGATTTCTTAAAACCTAGAAGAACAAGCCACATGCCTGGTTATCCCTAGTAGGATCGTTTTGTTGCATCATGTGCATTTGACTTAGCGATGCTCGGCACAGGGGTCGGGTCCGTATAAGACAGACATCCTTCTTGAGACCATCATGTTCACTTATGTACTACTTGCTGTATCATTTGGAAAGCTCGTTTGCATTTGTTGACCGACTTTAGAAAATTAGTTGAGCGAAAACAAGAAAAAAAAATCATTCCCCCAGTTTTGTACAAATAATTTATTCTTACTAAATAAAAAATAAAATAGAAATTATCTAGTCATAGTTCGAACTACGCAGGTCCGGTTCTCACAATTCCAATGGGGTACATAGGCAATCTTCATCGGGTTCGGCCCCCAATTTTGCAAGAGTTTTCAAAATCGATGTGTCCATAATATTTTCCAATTTCTTTTTGTTTAATAATAGTAGTAATTAATCGATAGTTTTGCTACTTTTTTGTATTTTTCATTATTTTTGTCTATGCGTCTGATCATGTTTTTCAATACAACCTCAAAACCTACTTCGGAACCGCCGAAGGGTTGTTTTCGTAAATATAGCTAATATTTTATTATTTTGCCCCTATATTGAATCATTTTTGCCGAAATAGCTTTAAAACCTTCCTTGAAAGTGCCGAAGGGCTATTTCCGTACAAAATGGTTACTTTGCTCATTTTTCACACCTTTTACCATTTTGTCTTTATATTTGACCATTTTTGCCGTGACAACCTTTCAACCTCTCTCGGAAGTGTCGAAGGGCTACTTTCGTAAAAATAGTCATTTTGTTTTTGCTATGTCGTCCCTTGTTTTCGGCCATTTTTGCCAAGTCAACCATATAACTTTTTTTTGAAGTACCAAATAGGTGTTTTTCGTAAAAAAATAAGTTTTTATTTATTTTTACCCGCTTATCCATGTGTCATGTTATTTTTACCGGGACAGCCTTAGTACTTTTTTTGGAGGTACTAAAGATCCATTTTTATAAAAATAACCATCTTGTCCCCTTCGTCACCTTTTATCATTTTGTCCTTTGTCCGGCCATTTTTGTCATGTATTGTTTCCTCGGCGAGATAGCGGAGTAATCCTTCTAGAGTCTAGCCTTCCTCCCATGAGAGGCTTGTCTGTTGTCTTATCCAAAAGTCTGCTTGGTGTCATTTCTTTGGGTTTGAGTAAGGAAAGATCAAGGATTATTTGAAAAACTTGGTAAACATTCTGGAGATTGAGCCCAAACAAGAACTCATCTAGGCTTTGGTTTATTTTTGGGATCCGAAGAATAATGTGTTTCATCTCAATGGGTTTGAAATGACTCCTGCCTTGGAGGAATTCACTGAATATAAAGATCTGGGGCATAAGAGTCAAACAAAGCGACTTTTGGCTCCTAGGGATGTCACTGCTACCATGTTCCTTGAGCAGATGTGGATCAGCCACATCGAGATAGCACATGTGGCGCAAGGGCAGGTCTGCCTAGATTTCTTGTATGACAGGTACGGGCATGAAGGGGGGTTCTCAGAATATGGGAAGAAGCTGATTAACAAACAGAACCAACACACATGGCGAGGACATGGACGGAAAACATTCATTGTAGCTTTCTTGGGGTACATGGTCTTCTCGATAGAGGATTAGAAGATCAACATTCAATTATCTGGGGTAGTCACTGACATGATGAAAAGAAATTATTCTTCCATTCTTCCTATAGTGTTAGCAGATATCTTTCGTGCATTGACCAGGTTCTGGGAAGGGAAAGGTTTCTTTAAGGTTGCAACCTCCTGCTCCAGATGTGGTTCATGGACCATCTTTTCCATCGTCCTTCTCAGGTAAACCACAATACTTGTTGGGGTAATCATGTTCGGCAGTATAATGCTAGATTGAAGAGTGAGCTGGAGATTCGCAGTTTTCCAGAAAATGTCTAAGACTGGAAGGAGTATCTTCATTCCTTAATAGATGATCAGATTACATGGAATTATCCTTGATTCACCGCAGAATATGTCATCTATAAGTCATCTTGCCATCCGTTTCTGATCTTGATGGGGCTTCGGGGTTATCAGCCATGTGCTTCTATGACAGTTCTACGTCAGTTGGGTCACAAAGAAATAGTGCCCCCGGTAGAGTCTATGGAAATCTTTATCTGGGATGCAAAATCAGAGGATCCCATTCGTGAAGCTTATGCTCAACGTGTTTGGAATGGAACTAAGATACTCGAGCGTGGCACCATGGTGGCAGATCGAGAACAGGGTGAGTTGGATACTTCTTATATTAAGTGGTTCTATAATCAAGATGCTCTAAAAGATAGACCGGGGACAGTCATAAAGAGCACCACAGAGTGGGAGGTTAAGATTTGAAACAGAGTTGGGCTCGTTGCGGAAGAGATGAAAAGGGATTATGAATCTGCCTTTGGAGCACTGCCGGAAGAGCTCGGCATCGCTAAAATAGACAGGGATCTGCTGTATGATGCTTTTAAGGAAGAGAAAGCTCAGTGGGCACGAGAGAAGCAAGCACTCAAAGCCCAAATTCGAAAGAAGAACATAGTCACAACCGCTCAGCAACAAGAACAGAGAGAAGCCCAGTTCAGGGTAGTCTTTGATCATGACCGCATGAGTTACGCTCCACTAATCCAAGGTCTAAGGGATTAGTTAGAGGGAGTTGAATCAAGTAAGGAGCTCCTGATCGCCAAGTTTGAAATAGAAAGACACCACTACCAAAAGGTGATCAATCGGTTGGAGGGGGAGTCACTGGAAACTCGGCGCCAGAGAGATATGGCCTTGGAGCGCGAGCATGATGCGCTGGATCTAGCTGCGACCCATGGTCAGTGAAATTAAGAGTTGCATTTGGCTCAAGAACACATTAAGGGAAAAATCCTCGAGGTAGTCACATATACCTCCCGAGCTTGCTCGAGTTGCCAGGGAATGACGCCCGAGCAATTTGCAGAAGTATCATTGAACATCGCCCGTCACATATCTACAGATTTAGAAAGGATATACCGCGATGTTGGGGGTCAGCCGCAGGAACAAGCTCCATGAATACAGTTATGCTGGTGGATTCTCCTGTAGAATATTGGATCTTCTTTTAGCTGGCAGTCCACTTTGACTGTTCCTTTGTGGTCTTTGAGTCTGTAAGAGTCTTTTGGTATTTTGAGTCTTGTTGGTTTGCCTTTTGTCCTAAAAAGTTTGTTTGAGTCAAGTCTGGTCTTGTTTAAATATTTATCTTTATTCAATTCTTGTTTTTGAGTCTTGTATAAAAAGAAATTGAAAATCAATGAAAATGATTTTATTTTAGAAAAATTTAAAAATGAACCAAAAAGATGTTGTTTTGTTGTGTGTGTGTGTGTGTGTATATATATATATATATATATATATATATATATATAACAAATGGTCATGTCCCTGAACTACGTAATGATCTGATTCATGTGGCGATATGATACGTAGGCAACCCCCAAAAGGTTCGATCGAATATTATTCAACGACTCTAAAATGAGGGATAAAATTGAGGCAAGTCAATAGAAAAGCAAAAAACAAAAAGAGAGAAGAGAATAAGATCATCAGTAAGCATCATTCTTATAAGCCGGAATTAAACATGAAGCCTTCCAAAAGCATGTTAGAAATGATGACAATGTTTGGAACGTGGCATATTATGTGTGATTCATATATGTAAAATGCTTAATCCTAACACGTTTGTTGTCTCTTATATCTAGTAAGTTTAAAGTGGTTGGTTTGTGGTGAAACTGGCAACACATCATTACTTTACCAGATCTAAGGGAAAGGTAGCAATGACTAACAATGATGAAATCAAGCTGGTCGGTGACGACCCCCAGGGTTAGCTAGTTGAGCAAGAGTCAAATGAAGTAGGAAGATTGAAACAACTGTCTGATGTGTATCAGGCTTGGGTCTCCAGTCAGCCTCCACATCAGGGTCCCTCAGAAGGAAATTCCACTGTACCCCCGGCTACTCAACCACCGCTCCATGCAACGAACGATCACATTTTTCTACCATGGTATGTGCCAAAATACGGCTTTCATGCCGCCCCTGGTACTTCTAATGTGCGACCTCCAGCCGTACCGGTCAGGAA